AAATTCAAAAGTTATTAGAAAATGGTCAGACAGAAGAGGGTTATGGGGAAAAACTATTAAGTGTTCAGTTTTGATGCCATATGTCAGAACCAGATCAAGAGTGTGATTAAAACAGTGAGTGGGTTTATTTAGTTTGAGAGAAGCCAACTGAGTCTAATAATGAACAGAATGCATTGTTGAGGCTGTCATTGTCGGCATCTACATGAATATTAAAGTCGCCTACTATGATTATTTTATCTGTACTAAGTACTAAATCAGACAGAAAGTCTGAGAATTCACTTAAAAACTCTGAATAAGGAGCAGGTGGACGGTATACAATAACAAACAGAAAAGGCTTTTGAGTTTTCCTGTTTGGGTGTGAGAGACTCAGGGTGAGACTTTCAAATGAGTTTATAGCTATGTTTAGGTCTAGGGTTGATTAATAGGCTTGAGTCAAAGATCGCTGCCACGCCACCACCTCGGCCTGTGTTTCGAGGGATGTGACAGTTACTGTGACTAGGTGGAGTGGATTCATTTAGGCTGACATATTCTTCCTGCTGTAACCATGTTTCAGTAAGACACAATAAGTCAATGTGATGTTCACTTATCAAATCATTCACTAACAGAGATTTAGATGAGAGAGATTTGATATTTAATAGTCCACATTTGATTGTCTTATTACTTTCCACTATAAGAGTCGTCGTCTTAATTTTAATTAGGTTCTTATGAATAACTCCTCTGGAGTTGATTCTTGATTTATATAATTTAGGTGGGCGGGAGGCAGACACAGTCTCTATGGGGTACTGGGAGCGTTGGGTGGGTAGCAGCTGCAATGAGACAGCAGAGAGGCGTGTAAGGCCCTGCATCCTGGACTCAACTCTGGGCTGTCATAATTTAGGTTGTAAAATAAACTCGTCCAGATTTCTAGATAAGAGAGCCGCACCACCCAAAGTGGGATGGATGCCATCTTTGCTAAGCAGACCAGGTTTTCCCCAAAATGTTTTCCAGTTATCTATGAATTGGTGGTATAAATTCAAAAACTGCTAAAGTGAACCACATACAGTATTAAGCAGCTTTTACCAAGAACAGGAATGAGTGTGGGTAGACTGGTGATCTCTCCAGGATGTACCTCGCCCAGCTGCCACTGGGCGAGGTACATCCAGCCCCCCACAACCCTATAGTCAGGATAAACAGTATAGATAATGGATGGATGTTTCCCTAATGTCCTTTCCTTTCAGTTTAAGAACATCAACAAAGGGAAGAAGACAAACATCATAGACTCCATGCTGAGGATGTTGGAACAGTACTCGTCTAACCTAGAGGAACTGATCAGAGAGCGAACGGAGGAGCTGGAGATAGAGAAACAGAAGACGGAGAAGCTGCTAACCCAGATGCTGCCTCCGTAAGTTAGTACAGGTGATGTCAAATTCTGACTGTGAAAACACAACATACACTGTTGAAAATGTGCATGTTAATAAAGCTGTCTACTTTTGTCTGAACAAAATTCTGACCTTCTCAGAAAGTGATTTATATGTTATGTAATTGTTTTCACACAAATAAAAAGTAATTGTGTTGGAGTGTCAAGATATGACCTATGCCAGCCTGGACTGTGAAGTCCAAAGGCTAAGTGTACATGTACTGTATGTGCACTTTTTAAGGCAAGGACATAAAGACATATAAATGCAATGAAATCAAAAATGGGGAAAACCGAATCCACAAAAAAGGTGGTCATAAATAGACACAAATTTAATTTTGTATTGTGAAAATGCAGTGAACAGATTAGTTTAAAGCTGGATTTGGAGTATATTCCAGATATATTTTACATGGAAGTTCCTCTAGAAACTGCTTTTCCATGTTTCATATTGGGGTAGGTACATAGCATTATGAGTCACCTGTAGCTATTGCTATGATGACCTGGAGACTTTACACATTGCAAACATGTTTTTCTTCTTTCCCCAGGTCTGTGGCAGAAGCTTTGAAGGTGGGTGGCATGGTCAAACCGGAATATTTTGACAATGTCTCACTTTATTTCAGCGACATTGTTGGCTTCACCACCATCTCAGCTAACAGTGAACCCATTGAGGTGGTCGACCTGCTAAATGACCTCTACACACTCTTCGACGCCATCATAGGACACCATGATGTCTACAAGGTGCTGTGTTTTAATCTCCATCTTTAGTTCTCCTCGTACAGATACTGTGGCCTCATTAAATCTCAACAGGCAACATTAGATTAGCTTGCTTCTTATCGTTATGTTCTACTGTAGGTGGAGACAATCGGTGATGCTTACATGGTGGCATCAGGTGTTCCCGTCCCTAACGGCAACCGTCATGCTGCAGAAATTGCCAACATGGCCCTTGACATCCTGAGCGCTGTGGGAACCTTCAAAATGAGACATATGCCTGATGTTCCTGTCAGAATACGCATAGGCCTGCACACAGGTGAGACATGATGGTGTTTCACCACAAGCTACACAAAAACAGCAGATGTCACAGGAGTGAAGAATCTGGCTGCACAGCTGTGTTGTTTAAGGATGTACAGTGCTGTCTCCGTAAGTTAGTACATTAGTTAGTATATTTCAGGTTTTCTTTTTTAATAAATCTGCAAAAATGTCAAAAATTCTGTGTTTTTCTGTCAATATGGGGTGCTGGGTGTACATTAATGAGGAAAAAATGAACTTAAATGATTTTAGCATATGGCTGCAATATAACAAAGAGTGAAAAATTTAAGGGGGTCTGAATACTTTCCATACCCACTGTGAGTTGTACGGTGGCTCCCAATGTCTGTATCTTTGTTTCTTGTCATGTCTCTACTGTAATAAAATGCTTAAATCCAAACCCTACTCATAACTTAGCCACCTAAAAAAAGTAATATGTGTGTTGTAGGTCCATGTGTAGCAGGTGTGGTGGGTCTCACCATGCCTCGCTATTGTCTGTTTGGAGACACAGTTAACACTGCCTCTCAAATGGAGTCTAGCGGGATGCGTAAGTTACACACCTCAAATAAGACTGAACTCTACTGAACAACTATTTATGGAAAAGAATAACCAGACAGAAATTGTAGAGCTAAAGGAATTGGAACAACAGATAATTAATAAGCAACTATTTTCATACCTAACTAATGTTGTGGGTCATTTTTCTAGAAAATAATTGCCAAATTGGTTGATAATGGTCTTTTCATTTCTGCACTTTATATTCTTGTTCTAATGTACTTTATTCCCAATTTTAATTTATAATATCATTCTTTGGGCACATGCTACAGCCTACAGGATCCATGTCCACCAGAGTACAGTGAAGGTCCTACGGGAACTAAATTTTGGCTACAAACTAGAGTTAAGAGGCAGGACAGAAGTCAAGGTACAGCTCTTTGTTAAAGCAAGATTTTAACAATATTGTCAGATGCAGACAAAATAGGCTCATTGTCTGTCTCTTCCTCAGGGGAAATGGTTAGAAGATACCTACTGGCTTGTAGGGAGAGATGGATTTAACAAACCTCTACCTGTTCCTCCAGAACTCAAGTCTGGGTAGGAGTTTGTTCTCCTCCTCCTTTGTTCCACTTTCTCCTTTTTACTCTCATACTGATCCTTACATACAGTCCAGCCACTGCAGATGTTCAATTACAGTACATACATTCTACATTCAAAAACTGGATCTGTTATATTGTTTGTATTTTTCTTATCCCTGCAAAAACAGAGCCCAGACTATAACAGCTAAAGTAAAGATAAGGTTTAGGCACCAGTCCCTCAGAATTAATCCCTCAGAGGTCCTGTCAGGTCAGTTTGGCCATTTGAACAAACAACCACTGCTGTTTGTTTTCTAGTAAGGACAGTCTCATAGAGATTGTCACCATGTAACACATATGCAGACTGATTACAGACACCTAGCGCAACTTGTAGTGAGGGGTTGTATGCCTTTTTCAAGTGCTCTTGAAAAGCAATTGTTGAGGAAAAGAAGAGCACTTCTTTTCTCCCATTAAACATGCAAACCAACCCAACATTTAGATCAGCTTCTCCGACAACTACTGTAGGTCACCTCTACATCTCCACAGTGGCTACGCCTCTAAATCTGTCCTGTGGAGAGACAAGTAGCCGAGCCATTGCAGGACTCCAGTATATGCATGTGTGTGCTGTGTTCATGCTGTTCATTTTGTCCCAATAGGCAAATGGCCCACGGGTTGCAGATGGCCGAGATAGCCCAATACAAGAAATTGAAAGCCAAGAAACTTCAAGAAGAACAACTTGCAAAGAAGAAAAACTGAGGTAACATTATGCATTAGTCAAGGTGCAAATGAAAGACAATATCTAGGGTAGTTCAAGTGTGGGATGTAGGGATTTGGTCCATAAAATACAAATTTATTCAGAAGGAGGGAAAATCATCATTTTGAAACAAAACTCAGTTCTTCTACTTTATCATGTATCATGTTGATCATAACCTCAATGTACCGCCAAGCCAAATTTTTTGTATTTACCATTTAAGATTCGCACCCCTAGCTGGTATAGTGTTTGCTAAAAAGCACTTTAGCACTTCAGCAGATTCAAGGCCACTCCCCCATTTCAGTGGGGCCATGATGCAAGGATAAGTGATAAAATCTTTCTCAGACATTCACACCAAAACAAGCTTTTCATCCAATAACAGCAATGTGCAGACATTGGCCCAGGCTGACATGAAAGGTCTAAGATGATATGTTTGTCAGTGCTTCCCTAAATGTGATGATGTCAGTTCAAATGTCCGTTCAGGTGAACAGGTGCAATGGTGTCTGCATTAAAAATATAGCCTCTTGTGAAATTAAAATGTAACATTCCAGTCTTCAGATAAGTAGATATAATGCTTTAGTGCTACACTAAAATCATTTGTCAAATATCTTGGATCTGCTCATCTCAAGAGTCTCCAATGTGAGCAAAACTTAGTTGGATTAGTTTTTTTTTTTTGTTAAACATTTTAAGATGTTGTCACTGTAGCATTCTCAATTGTATATCCAGTCTTGTTTTTCAATGTTTCCTCTTTCATGTTCAAAGCAAGAGTGGTTTTGGCCCCTAGTTTCGCTCTTAAGTCCAGCCACTGTGCAGAAGCCACTTTACAAATTTACCTTTAATCAAATAATGCAACAACATTGGACAAGAGGTGTTTAGCATTAGGCTGAATTAATATGCTTTAAATATTCCACTTTTATACATCATGGAACTATGTATAAATTTACTGTGCACTGGAGAAACACTGCTGCTTTTTGACCTCTCTGTGGAAGCTAGTGGTCAAGGGTTCTCATTCTCATCTTTGTCCAAATCACGTTTTCTCTAGTTGAAGGAATAGTTTAATATTTTGGGAACTGAGCTTACTGTGGTATCAATCTTTTAATTCTTGGCAAGAAAGCAAATGTATTTCCCAAAATGTCCAGCTACTTTAAGAATAACATTTTTGACATTCTAAGGGAGCTGTCTTCACTTCCTTTTTGCATTAAAGCAGGTGTTTTACAAGGCTATAAACAAACTCTCCCATGTCTGTATGGTTACTCAGCTCTATGCGCCCAAAGAAGACAGCAAGTCATGATGGTGCACCACTGACTGACATGTAATTCACACATCTGCCTTGACTGGATGTGTCCGGTTGGATCACACTGGAGAAAACTCTGCTAGCAAGTTACCAGGTGGAGAAAGGGCCTAGTGAAAGCTTTACTTCAGATTAACAGCAGTCACCATGTGTGTGTCTGTGTTTTAACAGCTTGTGTTGAGGAGATGAAATCTAGTGTGGAACTATAAAGGCCAGCAAATGATGACTCGGCAAAGCAGGGATCTTCAGAACCTGCCTGTCAGCTGCAGATGAATGGAACTAATCTTTCATTTATCTTGCTCCTTCAATTCCCTGAAGGGAAGAGAACAGAGAAGAGGAGGAAAGGAAACTGAGGTGAGAACAGGGGCAAATGAAGTGAGGAGCAAAGAGGAAAGTAAAGGAGGCAAGAACAAAGCCGTCTTTTGCTTCCACCTGATCTTTATTCTCCACCCTGTGCATGGAGGAATTTCAGTTTTGGCTTTGTGATGTCACCATTGTGGATACTGGAAAACAAAATCTCAACTAATTACTGCTGTTTAGGTACTTAGTATTTTAGGCTTGTTTTGCATTCAAATGACAGTAGTTATTTTTATACTCAATCTACCAGTTACATGCTTGATTAGTATAAAATGTAAGAAAATAACACAAAAGGTCTCATGTAATTTCTGAGTTCAAGGTGCTTGTTCTGTTTGACCAAAAGTACAAATATATTCAACTTACCATGATATAAGAAAAACCAATATTTGTGTTTAAGGAAGTGTAGATCAAAATGATTTAATTAATTTACTTTTCATAATGATTTTGATGTTTTTTTTTTTCTATCCCTCTATTGACCAGCTGTTGTTGTTGTTGTTGTTGTTGTTGTTGTCAGATGTTTTGGCTAACTATGATTAGATTGCTTGTTGTGTATTGCCAGGCTGGAATAATTTAAAACTCTTAAGATTTTGGGGTTTGTACTTTACTAATTACTCAACTATGTCTTAAAGGATTTAAGTTATATTTTGCTGGGTGTTTGCTGCCTGTTATGATTTATGAAAGGATATTTTACATTAAAATCTTCTAATCTATGCTAATTTTTTTGCTGTGCAATATTTTTTTCTTCAATTTTTTATCTTGTAGTTTTAATATTTTGTTTATCAGACATGTTAATGGGTACATGACTTCATCTGTTGCTTAACTAGATGATTTAATTTGCCAATTAAATCACTGGATTTTACTATTTAGTTTTGTCCTCATGATAAATTATCCTGATGGTAGGTAAGAAAATGTTTTCTATCAACAGCTTTTCAGTGAGAAGCTAATCTTTAAACAATCCCACAGCGCCCTCTAGTGATCAACCAGAGTATAAATAGTGTAATGAAGCTACAGATGGCATCCTGGAAGCTCTGGGGGATTATCCCTGCTGAGCCTCTGTGCGCGTGTGCGCATGCGCCTGGTAATACTTGCATTGTGTTGGCCGAGAGCTGTTTACGCAGTCACATTGCGGAGACTCAGCCTTTCTTGCATATAAATCACAGAACTTTAGGATGAACGTTAGGTTAAGCATTATGTATTAGGCAGGTAGTATTTATGGTGAAGGTTACGGTAAATATTAAGACAATGAATATAAACTAAGTCAATGTAAAGTCCCTGCAAGGAATGAAAACTGTTCTCAAACGAGTTTAAATAATTTTCACTGGGCTGAAAGGCTGAAAATACATAACATTTCAAATGAAAGCAGGAATTACAAGGATAAAGTCAGAAAAAATAACATATTGGATATTAGAAATACCTCTGAGATTCTCTGATCCTGTTGATCATTTTGCAATTTGTTAAGTTACCTAAAGAATCCTGACCCCCAGGTCATTATAGACAAAACACCTTCAGTATAATGGTGCCACTTTCATCATTTGCCTTTTGACGTTTTTAAGCCTTTTAAGTAATTTTGGTACTGGGTTTAAATTAAAACTATACACTAATGACATGCTGCAAATAGTTTTTTTTTTTTTTATGTTTGTGGGTAAGCGTTTGTTGTGCACTGCAGTTTTCAGAGCTCACATCAGTCAGACAGGTGGGACTGTAAGCGATTCTTTTGGATTTTGTGTTGTATCTCAAGTTGCTGGGGAAAAAAAGTGGAATCTGGCTTAACAATGGAAACACAACTGAATATTTCTAACATGGTAAATGGTCTTATGCTTGTATAGCGCCTTTCTGTGCTTTTACAGCACACTCAAAGTGCTTTCACATTATTCGGCCATTCACCCAGTCGCACTCCCAAGCACTCACACACCAGTGACATCACCGGGAGCAACTGGGGGTTCAGTGTCTTGCTCAAGGACACCTCGACATGTTGACTGGACAAGCCAGGAATCAAACCGCTAATCCTCCGGTTAGGAAACGACCCGCTCTACCTCCTGAGCCACAGCACATGTGCAGACATTGCCAATTTGTTCTCAGTTCAGTAAATAAACTGTCTGCGTCTGTTTAAACTGCAATGTCAACAGCACAGCAGTGTCGCAACCGTGCTTGTTCTGAAATAACTGAGTCTGTAACAAAAGGAAGCATGCTTTCCTTTGTGTTTCCTGTGTGTGTGTATTTCAGCTTTGTTGGCCCTGCTCCTTTGTTACAAGTACAATAGCAGGGGAGATTTTACTGCAAGGCTCAATCCTGAGCAGTAGAGGGCGCTGTGTCATGGTAACTCAGCAGCAAGTGAAGGACTAGTCAGCAAAGAAAAACACAACAAAACATCTCATCAAGATTAGAGAAAAAATGGAATGGATTACAGGAAATGAAATGAAATCACCTGTGGGGTTTGGTAAATGAATACTGCTAATAATTTTAACACTTTTGGGAGAAGAAAACATTCCAACCAAGAAATCTGTCAACAGAAATAGACTATCCAGGTAAGGGAACATACAACACTATTTAGTTATAGACATACAAATGGAATGTAGCAATATAATATGTTTATTTATTGCCATTTTCTGTTTCACAGAAGAAAAGGACACAACACAAAAAAATCTGTCACTAATTAAGAGTTAATCTTATCATTATAAATGTAAGAACATTTTGGATTTGTATGTTTGACTTGTTTTAACTAAGTGTAACATTAGTTCAATGCTGAACTTCATTAAGCAACAAAGTTGCTGATGCCACATTTTGTCCTACATCTTATTGTACAAACCTAATATTTAGTCTACATTTACACAAACAAAAATCAAAGCATGTTACAGTGTTGAAACTCACCTTTGTGTGCAAACACAGACAACTGATGTCAGTTATTATCCAAAGCACCAGTGCACATCAACCAAATGACTGATGCAAGAACCTGGGTAAAATTTGCATCATTAATATACACAATGCAAGTTTGACTGACAACAGACACACTTGCAAATACACACCTATATACCCACAGCCTTTGTATTCTTTTTACAGCTAAATGGCTGAAAACTGTTTCTTAATTCTTGTGAAATCATCACACAACAGCTTGTTTTACTCAAAAGCTGAGTTGGTGACTTGACCACACCTACTATATTATCTGGAAAATTACTCAGCGTGACGGAATCACTGTAACAAGAAGATATGGAATTCTGAAGAAATTTACGGGTAAGCTTTCAAATTTCTGCAGGATCTGAAATGTCCCTCCAGTAATAAAATGTGAAAAAGAAACTGGTTAAAAGGTTGAAGGCTGCATGAGGTCTGTTGCTCTCACAGTAGCAGAGTTAGCAGGTGGAAGGTTGAATGATAAATCCTCAAAGTGCTTAGAAAAAATGTCAATCTGAACTTCACTACAGATCTGTGACAAGTGGGAAAACTCTGTCAAGCTCCAGAACAGCTACTAAATGCTGCAGCACAATAACACAACTCCCCCAAAGACCTCCAGAAATCAGAGTTTGTATCATTATAAAAGTTCCAGTTACATACAGCATATTGCAATCTTATTTTCATTTGCAGTGACAGTTTCAGAAGCAAATACAAACAGGTGGTCCTGCATGGGTAAAACATGGCACCAGCTCTGCTAGGGTGAAGGGTATGATTCCCACTGGGAACAGTTGCACTACACACGATTTCACTCATGATACTGAAAGGTGTTTGGAATAACAGGGTCCAGCAAATGGTTGCATGTGGGGTGTAGTAGAGGCTTGGAAAGACAAGCATGGCATTCTCTGCAGCATAGGAGAGCACAGATACCTCGCCTGGGCAGACAGGGGAGTCCTCCTTAATTACTCTATTTAGGTTACCATTGAATACACAGCAAGGGATTGAATCTCCGCTGTCACACATGCATGCTCTCTTTATAAGCATTTAGTGCCACATGTAGCTGTGCTGATGTTAAAAAGTAATAATAACATCATGATGTCTGATTAGAGGGAGTCTATACGTAGTGGATGGCAGATGCTGTGGCATTGTATAAACAAACCTGGAATTAATCTAATGTTACCTATACCAAACTGGGGGGGTTTAGTTTTAGCTTTAGGGGCACAGGCCTGAGGATACCCTGGCTGCCTTGACCCTAGCTGACCGCGTGGTTGACCAGTAGCCAAACTCAGCAGTGGGTTCTCACATGGCTGGAGCAGCAATGTGTTGTAGTAAACCTCAGACCCTGCAGGCAAGAGGTACAACATTTGTCCGCTGTTAAAATTACTTTCTCAGTATATGGGTAAAAGATCCAGCAAGCCTGTATCCACAGGTGAAAATTTGACAAAAAGAGATGATCAACACTTGTTGAATAGTGGGGTATACAGGGTTAAATGATTGACCAACAGGTGAAAAACAGCAAAGCACACATACTCATTGACTTTTAGGGTATTTTTCACTTTTACCACTCTACATTTCACAGAAAAACACTGTGGGTTTTTCTGCATTTGTGGCTTGATTCTTTGCAGTATAGTTTTACATCCACAAAACCGAGTAGAGCTTGCATTAAAAATGTAATTTTAATGTATTTATTTACTGTTCACATTATTCATATTCAGTTTTATAACTCGAAGTACATTTTCCTGGTTATATATTCATACTTTTACTTAAGTAATGTTTTAAATGCAGGTCTTTTACTTATAACAGCAAAGAAAAGGATCCAAATACGTACTCCACAACTGCAAAACAGTTGCTGGAAAACCTAATAAACTCCAGATAAGCCCTACAGAGTCACCGCCTATTTTTAACTTCGATAAAACTTTTGCGGCGTGAATGGTCAGAGCTATTGACGCAAAGCACTAATATCCATTAGTGACTGGTCCATTTACCTGTCAGTGTATGTCAGTCAAAATGATAGGCCAACCGGAGCCCGTGTTTGGTTCTTTGCTCCTCCCATTTGGCTGGTGACGAAGAGGGTCATGTGTTGTTTGTGCTCTGGCCCGTAGAGATGTGTACAGGAGGAGAAGGGAACAGATTGCTAACAGAGCTAGCCGGATCCTCCCGATTGTAGAAATACGACCGAACGTGGTCATGCTGCACACGATAGGCTTCACCTCATGAGAAAAGCCAGCATTGGAATACCTGCGTCGCTGCTAAAAAAGGCACCGGGACTCCTCTTTTTAACGGAATAACAAAGCCGGTTAGTAAGGATTGCAAATCTGAGTCATTTTAGTCAACGTTAGCTGGCCTAGCCGGACTCGGGAGCTCGTCTCCCAAAACAAGAATGGGGTCTAGGTCCACTTGGATTAGCTTGCTAGTAAAGTGACCTTTGATTGTATTCTCTGATGGCAAATATTACAAATCACCAGGAAGGCAAGGCAGCGATGTTGATGGTGGAGACGCAGCAGAGGGACATGGGGACGAAATCTGCGGGCGCCACTGCAAACGGAGACAGCTCGGTCTGGGAACCCCCTTCCCCGTTAATTAATGTCGGTGGTGGCGGCGGAGGAGGAGGCTCTCGTTTCCATCAGCATTTACCGCCCTCCAACCACCTCCATCACCACATGAGCCACCATCACTCGCCAAAGGATCAACAGCAGCACCATCACTACCAGCTGGCTCCGCAGCAGCAGCATCTCTCCGTTGAAAACATCGCAGAGTCCCCGGGCAGGAAAGCGTCCTCCTCGTCTCTCAGCCAGGTACATACCGCGGAGGACCCAGCCGCTTCCTCCGCCGCTAGCAGCAGCAGCAGCAGCAGCACGATATGCGCGGCTGTGAACGTCGCTAATACCTCAGACGTTGTGGATGATATTCGAAAATGTGGCTATTTAAGAAAGCAAAAACACGGACATAAAAGGTTTTTCGTGCTGCGGGCTGCCAGCCACCTAGGGCCGAGCCGCTTGGAGTACTATGACAGCGAGAAGAAATTCAGGAACAGCCTGCGCTCTGCTGCCGCGGCCGCCGCCAGCGGTGGTGCGGTCGCTCCTTCTCCCCCAAAAAGGGTTATTTACCTCTACCAGTGCTTCACGGTAAACAAAAGGGCGGATTCCAAAAACAAACACCTCATTGCCCTTTATACTAAGGATGAGTATTTTGCCATTGTGGCTGAAAATGAGCAGGAGCAAGAAGAATGGTACGTAGCTGTCAGTGAGTTGATGAGTGAGGGCAAAAAAGGGCACTTGGATTCTGATGATTTAGATGATGGATATGGTACAGTCACCCCTGGTACAGTGTTTAAAGAGGTGTGGCAGGTGAATGTGAAACCTAAAGGACTAGGTCAAACAAAAAACCTCACAGGCGTTTACCGGCTATGCCTCTCAACTAAAACCATTCACCTCGTTAAGTTGAACTCTGAAACCCCCTGTGTTAACCTCCAGCTGATGAATATCAGACGCTGTGGACATTCAGAAAGCTTCTTTTTCATTGAGGTTGGTCGCTCCTCCTCTATTGGGCCTGGGGAGATATGGATGCAGGTGGATGATTCTGTTGTTGCCCAAAACATGCACGAGACCATTCTGGAGACAATGAAAGCCCTTAAAGCTTTTGCAGAGTTTCGGCCCAGGAGCAAGAGCCAGTCATCAGGCTCCAACCCCATGCCATTTATCACGACACGGCGCCACCTGGGCAACCTGCCACCGAGCCAGACGGGGCTGCAGCGGCGGTCAAGGACAGAATCAGTTGTTGGCACACCGCCTTCAAGTAAAAGCTCCAGGGCTAGTGGTTATCGCTTCCGTACATCCAGTGAGGGTGAGGGGACAATGAACCGGCCATTCTGCTCCACCACAGGAAGTCTGGTTCATCTTAACTCAGCACGTGCTCAGCACGGTCGTCAGGAGGGTGGTGGTGGTAGCAGTGGGAGTGGTGTTGCCACAGGAAATGCCAGCACAAGCACCGGAGGTGGACGCTATGTCAGAGCCATCCCAGGATCATCATCCAACTACCACACCCGCTCTGCCTCGCTGCCAGTCTCTCACTTCCCCTCAACCACCAGTCCTGTGAGCGTATCCTCCAGTAGTGGCCACGGATCTGTCTCTGACACATTCACCCGCCCGTCAAGCGCCTCAATATGTGGCTCACCATCTGATGGTGGCTTTAACTCTTCAGATGAGTATGGTTCCAGCCCTGGTGATTTCCGGTACTTCCGGGTGCGAAGTAACACACCAGACTCCTTGGGCAACACACCACCAATCAGAGAAGAGAACTGTTTAAATGATTACATGGCTATGAGCTGGAACAGAGAGGTCTTTGGCACCACTGGGGGGTCTGGACACAACAGTGGAGGTGATGCACCTCGGGATGAGAGCACATCAACAACAGAGGATGAACGCTTTTCTTCATCATCATCATCATTGCG